TGTCAGCTTTGTATATATTGCCATTTCCTTTGTCCAATCAGCTTTCTTTTTAATCTTTAATTAAGCCAGTAAATGAGGGTTTTATGCTGTACCCAGTAAAGCCGATGATAAAGATGCCAGTAATTTCATTGAGACTAGATGATTACATTAGTCTCTGAAGTTGAACTTTTCTAATAGACTGATCTCTACCAACAAAGTATCAAAGAAGAATTATTTTAGGTTATTCACACACACATATATGCATGCTTAAAAACCACTTTTTCAGTTACTCTAGGTCCATATTTCTACTATTTGTAGACAAGGAAGCTCCGAGTTTAGCTATGTTTTTAAAATGTGAAAAGTGTACATTAGTCTCTGAAGTTGAACTTTTCTAATAGACTGATCTCTACCAACAAAGTATCAAAGAAGAATTATTTTAGGTTATTCACACACACATATATGCATGCTTAAAAACCACTTTTTCAGTTACTCTAGGTCCATATTTCTACTATTTGTAGACAAGGAAGCTCCGAGTTTAGCTATGTTTTTAAAATGTGAAAAGTGAATTGTTTCTAGATGAAAAAAATACAAATCTAAATCCTAAAATTTAAACTTAAAAACAAAACAAAACATTGTTTCACTTACAGCTAAGTGCATTCATTATATCTGCAACTTCTGAAACACTGCAGTGATCACTATCCTAGAAAATTATTATAATTCCATAAAAGTTAAGATCCTCACATTTTAAAATGTATTTTATTTTCAATAGTTTATACCAGACGCCCACTTCCCTAGGCCTAATGTAAATTAAAATCCAAGTATAAAATTATTAAATGTCATAACAGTGTCTTCAAAACAAAGACTCAATATATTAAAGATCCGTGTACTACTGTGAGTATGGTAACCCATTTTTTTCCCAATCAAAATGTAAACAAATTGACTTTTCATTGTGCATCAAGGCTTAAACTCATATGTGGATAGGCTGTCAATGGGTACAAATTCCAGATGGTAGAATGACCTTATACCACTACTAAAAAGTTCCAGTCCAGGAACTGAAAGAGACATTGTCCCAGCAGACAGCAACTGCCACGATGGAATATGGTGGAAGAAAGTACTTGGGGGAGATTTTTGGGATGCAGGAGTGAGGCATGCTAACTCTTGGAGTTTGCTCCATGCTGGAGCCCCCTTCTGCACCCAAACTCACTTCCAGAGCTCACATCCCTCTCCCCCTCCTTTACCCCAATGCTCTGGGAGGACATCTGGGTGCTAGGGTTGCCAGGTGTCCAGTTTTGAACCAGACCAGTTCAGTATTTGAGATTTCTGTTTGGGAAACAAATTAAGAAAATATAAATGTCCAGAATTTTCTAAATAAGATGCAATGTAGATTGTGATGTAATGTCAAATGTGTCCGGTATTTGTGTTGAAACCACCTGGCAACCCAACTGGGTGTAAGAGGGGGCTCCAGCCTGGATCAGATTGTTGGAGTTCAAACATGAAGAGTGCAACTCTGAGAAGGAGTTTGTCTGGAGCCCCTTCCTGCACCCAAACTCACTCAGAGCCCACAAGTCTCAGCTTCTCCTGCACCCCAACACTCTGGATGCAAGAAGGGGCTTCAGTCTATGGCAGTGTTGGTTGCTGAAGGGGGTGAAGTAAGTGTGTGTGTGTATATATATATATATATACACACACACACACACACACACACACACACAGTGGAGAGAATTGGGAAAAAATATTTTAAAAAATACCGAACAAATTTCATATGCATAACTAAAAGACAAAAAATAATAGATATTCTGTCCTTCCATGTTTTATGGTCACTTTTCAGATATTAAGTGCACTTTAAAAGGATTTCAGTTTTGTTTTTACTTCTTCCTGATAGCTATTTTGCAAACAATCAACTATCTAGGGCTTCCTTGTCAGAGCTCTTTACACTGAAACTCAGTCTTCCTCTTTTCAGGAAGCTGAGTCTTATAAATCATCATCCCACTTTACTTTAATTGTCATGGAGAAAAATGTTACATATTTCTGCCTTAGCTCATAAAAAAACCCTATCTCATATTATTTATTGTGATTATTATTATTATTATTGCTTTCAGTTGAAGGGCTAAAATGAAGACAAGTAAAAAAATCTGGCCCCCTATTTTAGATGTGATTTCTGACTACAGGTTGAACCTTTCTAGTCCGGCACACTCTGATCTGGCAAACATCCATATTCTGACATGATTTTACTTAGCCAAATGTCCACTTATCATTGGCGTAGCTAAGATTCCTATGGTCCCATAAAGTTTGTTTAGAGCCACCAGTCCTGGCTCTCAGTGTTTTATATTGTTATTTAGCTCTAATTTACCCCTAAATGTCCAGTAAGCAATGGAAGTTTTGGTAATGCTGCTAGACAATATTCCATGGTTCAGTAAATTCTCTGGTTTGACTCTGGTCAGGTCCAGAAAGTACTGGACTAGACAGGTTCAACTGTAGCAACTTTAACAGTCTAACTTTCCCCCACATTTGGCCACAATAGAGAAGTGCCTTCCATTTTGTTCCCACCAAGTGATAGTTTAAGGAGAATTCTAAAGCCTCCAGAACTCTGCATAACATTGCTCTTCTGTGCGAACATCCCAAAGTTTAGGGAGTAACTTACATACAAAACCTTTTGGACCTGTGCCAGAATACCCAGTATGCTTGTTTTTAAACAGATTCTAGCCTTTTGTATTTTCCTGATCATTTTTAAGCAGTAGTTTTAGTCTCAACAATATTCATCATTCGACTTCATTTCCACAACTATCCAACCCTTCACTTCTATTAGACTGAATTGCAACACTTTAGAGAGAACAACATTTCATGCGTTTCATCTACTTTATTGTTTAAAGCTAGGATTGGACGTGTTCTGATATATAGCTAGGTAAAAGAGGAGGGGGAAAATATAAAACTTACTCCTATTTAGATAGATGTAGATGGAAGTCTAAAAGCTTGAACTAAGTAAAATCTTTTGTTAGTCAACCTATTTCCTTGTTTTGCATATACTTTTACTTGCTACAGAAATACTTGTATAAGAATAGCACTTTGGGGCAAAAATCAAATATGTAAAATTGTTAGAGGTAACCATTGTTTCTAGAGATCTATGAACATCAGATAAATGCTCTGTGAAGCATTGCTGATGAACATGAAAGTACACTTTATGTTCTGGAAGTCTTCATCAAGATTTTTTTTAAACAAGCTTTTATTTTTATGGCAAATTGTTCACAACCTAGACCCGATGAAGAGAAATATGAGCATGTTCACCTATAAATTTCAGTGCAATAAAAATGAATGTTAAGGTGTCCATTTCATATTACAGAAAATGACAGAATCCAACTGAAGATTGAAAAACACTTCAAATGGGAAAAAGTCCTAGTTTTCAAAACATTAAACGAAGGTTGAACACAAATTTTTCTGCTTACACAAAGAGCAGTTTCTACCATGGTGAATCTTGCCAGAGGAAAAAAAATGAACAGCAAAATATGAGATGTGTAGTAATTTTATTTTCCAGACATATGATCCAAAAAACCTTTGGAATCTAAACTGACCAGAAATCAAGAAATCATTCTTAAAACTTTTCTCAACTACCAATAGGAGTACAATTCTTTCTTTGATTCACTGAGTTTGACAACAACACGGAAAATGAGCATCCTATCTTCAGTTATGACATCTGTTTTAACAACACATATCCTTCTGTTTACAAGTATTGATTATCTACTTCAGATGTAGTTATAAGACGCAGGCTATAGAAGGGCAGCAGACCAGAGAATCTAATATAACAAATTACTCTCACTTCTAACAAGAGCCAGATTTTGACATCTTTACTCTTGGGGTATGTCTACACTACAAAGTTAGTTCGAACTAACGGACGTTAGTTCGAACTAACTTTAATAGGTGCTACACTAGCGCTCCGCTAGTTCGAATTTGAATCGAACTA